TTGTCCTTAGCCTGGCCCTGATTTCCCTGAGCCTGGCCCTGGCCACCTTGAGTCTGGCCGTTGTTGTCCTTCGTCTGGCCCTGGCCTCCTTGAGTCTGGCCGTTGTTGCCTTGAGATTGACCGTTTTTGTCCTTGCCTTGACCCTGGCCTTGTTCTTGACCGTTGTTGCCCTTAGCTTGGCCTTGGCCACCTTGAGTCTGGCCGTTGTTGTCCTTCGTCTGGCCTTGGCCACCTTGAGTCTGGCCGTTCTTGTCCTTAGCCTGGCCCTGATTTCCCTGAGCCTGGCCCTGGCCACCTTGAGTCTGGCCGTTGTTGTCCTTCGTCTGGCCCTGGCCTCCTTGAGTCTGGCCGTTCTTGTCCTTCGTCTGGCCCTGGCCACCTTGAGTCTGGCTGTTGTTATCCTTAGTCTGGCCTTGGCCACCTTGAGTCTGACCGTTGTTGTCCTTGCCTTGACCCTGGCCTTGGCCTTGACCATTGTCGCCCTTAGCCTGGCCCTGGCCTCCTTGAGTCTGGCCGTTGTTGTCCTTGCCTTGGCCCTGGCCACCTTGGTTCTGGTTGCCCTTTCCTTGGCCTTGACCTTGACCTTGACCTTGACCCTGGCCACCTTGGTTCTGGTTGCCCTTTCCTTGACCTTGACCCTGACCCTGAGCACCTTGGTTCTGGTTGCCCTTTCCTTGGCCTTGACCTTGACCCTGGGCACCCTGGTTCTGTCCTTGGCCACCGCCGCCTCCTCCTCCACCGGCGACAACTTCAAACTTGGTGCAGTCATCTTGCGCGCCTCGCTGAGCAACAGGCATGGCGACAGGCTGGTGGTTCGCCGCTCCGATCAGGGTACATACGCGGTACACGCCAGCCGGCAGCCCGCCCGTGACGACGGCCTGCAGCAAGCCCTGGCCGTTCCCGGCGTCGTCGATGCCCTTGAAGAAGGCGAACAGCTTGGGGTCAGGCGGCGTCGTCGAGTCGAGCGAGCCGATGGACTGGACGGTGACGTGGCAATGGCCGATGATGTCGCCGCGGCTGTCGAGGTCCTGGGGCGCCGTGTAGTAGTTTGTCGTCGGGTTGACAAACACGCCGGCCTTGAGGTGGGCGACCTGGACCGAAATGTTGAACGTCGTCTCGGCCGGGATGGTCTTGCCCGGCTGCGGGTTCGTGATCATGGCGGAGATCATGTTGTCGACGCTGGGGAGCTTGCCCATGGGAACGCCGTTGCAAGACCCCGTCTTGATCTGGACGCCATTGGTGATGGTCTGGCCCTTGCAAAAGTTGATAAAGTTGTCATTGTCGCTGCGGGACTCGGGTCAGGATTTTCTTGTCTCTTCTTTGTCCGCCTTGCTGGTACAAGTGGTTTGGACTTACGTTGCGGACGGCGACTGTCCGGCCTTGATACCTGCGGTGCCCTGCTCCTGACCGGTACGACCACTGGCGCTCTGGATCAAGTTCTTTTGCAAGCAGTTTGCCTGGTTCTGCCGGGCGAATATATCTCGAGGGTGATGCTTGACAGAGTCGTGCGTCGCGCCGAACAGAGAAGCCTCGATCAGGCCAGCTGATGCGAGGAACACGTAGATGGAACTAGCCAACATGTTGTGTTTTCTTCGAAGGGGAAACGAAAAAAAAAAAAATGATTGTGAACAAACAAACGAAGCAGGAAAGGAATGAATGGAAAGAATGGAAGCGACTGGGCTGAGATGACTGGCCTCGATTGCGATACTGCCGAAGGCTTGGCTCGCACTTATATACAGAACATGACGAGAGTGCTGGTGGGCCAGGTACCAGCCCGATGGGACGCTTGACACTCACACCCTGACTGGACGGGGCCAGGAGTCGAGATGGTTTGACACTTGAGGCTTGCTCCCGAGGCAGGCTAGACTGCCATCTCGTGTATCCCTTAATGACGCGTAGCTACAGGGCGGGCGCTGAAGCTGGGACGGGGGGTTGAGTCTACGGCAACGGGCGCCATCGTGGACAGCGCAGCAGGTGAAGGGGGCGGCACGAAGACTGCGGCGGTTCAGAGAGCACCCAGCCGTCCGATACATGCGAAGATCCTCTGTGGACCAACGGGGGATCTGGCGAGCATGTCGCAGATTCGGGAAACTCCTTCAGATCAGGGGCCCATCCCCCTTACCGTTGCACGGCCAATGGAGGCCGACCGAATTGAGTAATTGCAGTCACCCCATCGTGAGGCAGCCCTTTTCTGCTGAGTTGGTGACATGGGGGTGAAACCGTGCTGGTCGGACGACTGGCGTCTCAACCCCGCGAGCTTGTTCTCTACGGGTAATCGGCACTGGGATTGCGTCCATGGTACAGCATGGGTTCGCAAGCCCACGCGACTTGGACGTGCCCATTGCGAGAAGAGCAGTCGGCTTGCTCCGATTGATTCTTTCATGAATCGAAGGAAACTCTCCCTTGTCGTCTCACCCACAAACTTTGTATGCCAGACTTCACTAGTCCAATCTCCCAAAAAGGCTCTCTCACGAAAGATAAATTAAAAAAACCTTCCGCAACGTTGCAGAGCAGGACATGCATTTGAGCAGTGTTTATGCGCCCAAAAAAACTACACATGGGCAACACGATCTTTCGCATCTTCAACCCTGGAGGTAGGCAGAGGGTCTTACATTGCTTTAACGTGGACTGAGACGATCGCAACTGTAGCACCTAGGGAGGATCCCGTACAAAAGCGAAGAGGCCAGGTTCGCCGTGCGCAACAGTGAGGTCTAGTCCCTGTCATGACTTGAGTTGAACTCAGTTGAGATGATGCAGAGCCTATCGCGATCGAAAAGACAAGCACACCCAAGCGCTCGAAAAGCAACTTGCAGAGACTCGATCAAACGAAGCGAGACGAGCACGCGAATGTGAGGACCTTCGCGCTGCTCTTGATCGAGCATCAGGCCTCCTTTCGCAACATGGCATCCGAGCTCCCCTAGAGCTGCGTCAGACCGGCTCATCGGCCTTGGATCGCATGAGTCCCGGTCAGCGGGTTGTCGAAGAGCTTTCATCGCCCATGCCGTTCTGACCGGCGTCACTCGCTTAGCACCAGCAGCGCAGCGGCCATGTGACGCGTCAAGGCACAGGCCGAGCTCCCGACTCACGTGACCTCTACCCATTCCCCTCGCAGCCAATCGCGAGGCCACTGACTTCAATCCAAACTTGCAATCTTGACGTCCACACTACAAAAGCTCTCTGGCAACCATCACCCGCCCGACACCTCCCACCATGGCCGGCGACGACGTCCACCACCCCAAAGATGCCCTCAAGGCGGGCTTCACCGGCCTCACAATTGTCGGTACATCCGGCTTCTTCGTCGCCGCCATTCACAACGCCCTGCAGGTGAACAATGTCGGCGCCATGTCCGTCTTCACCCGCAGCGGTGGCATCATCGGCGTTTTCGGTACGACGAGTCCAATTGGGTGCTCAGCTGTCGAGTCAACGTTGCTGACTTGTGTCCTTCGTATATAGCTCTCGGCGGCGGTGCCTACGAGTTCACAAAGACCGCGAGCGCCAACCTGAGGCACAAGAATGACCCTTGGAACTCGGCCATTGGCGGCTTCGTCGCTGGTTCCATCCTCGGCATGACCAGTACGTGACCTCGCCTACCGAGATACGAAGCCTGGGTAAGGACCTTGTTGACGCGCTTCTTAGGGAAAAGGATGCCTACCGTCCTCGGTGTTGGCGCCTTGGTGTCCGCAACCATGGGCGTGTTCGACTTCACCGGCGCTCGCCTGCGTGGCTGGGCCGAGCGCCCCGAGGAAGACGAGTTTGAGCGAAAGCTGGCTCTGCGCGCCAACAGGAGGAGGCCGATTGAGGAGACGATCGCTGAGCTCGGCGAAAGGCGAGGTGCGTTCTTTCCTGCCGGCTGAAAGGCGCATGGTTCCGGGAGCGGGCACAGCCGCGCACACCGTTCTATACAATGCTGACACCCTGCAGAACTCAAGACCGAGGGCTACGATGAGCGGAGGCGCGAGCGCCTGCAGGCGAAGTACGGCGTCGAGATCAACCCCGTCAAGGCGACAGTCGAGTAGACTGGTGACCGAGTGGAAGGGAAGGGACAGACGACCTACGGGCTAGCGAGCGTTTCTCATTTGTTGTTGTACATACCACACGAGCCGGCCGCTGGGGGGCCATCGCAGACGGACCAAGGAAGGGAGCTCGTCCGGTAGAACACCAATCGGAGAGCTGTGTTATTTTCCAGCCCGATGCTCTCTTATGAGGGCTTCGCTGCATGTGACGTGCGTGTCGGATCTGTCGATCGGCGGCGCTGCTGCTGCTGCCGCTTACACTACAAACAAAAGGTACGTCGTTTGATGCTATAGCCCACTTCCCTACCCATGCATGATGAAACCCTAGCTTCAGAGGCTGTTTATGATCTACTTGATTATACCAATCACCGTTCTATCTTTTTTCTGATTGATCCCTTCTCCCTCTTTTCTCACTTGACCTTCTTGCTGTCGAAGCTCATCGCTAACGAGAGAAAAGGTATGCACAAGCTCGACAAGTTCTTTCCAATTCCATGATGAAAACCTTAGCTTCAGAGGCTGTTTATGATCTCCATGATTATAACAATCACCGTTCTATCATTTTCTGAATTATCCCATATCTTACCATACGTCTTTGCGGATTCGTTCGAAAGTCTGATACTAACCAGAGACGCAGGTATTGCTCCATCCAACCAACTGTTTTTGCCCCGCACCATCGCATGATGAAAATCTAGCTTCAGAGGCTGTTTATGATTTTATGATTATAACAATCACCGTTCTATCTCTTTTCTGACCCCGTCATCCTTCATCGTCTTATATGGCCACTCTAGAAGTGACATCGACTGACTTGGTATACAGGTACGACTACCTACTGAACGTCACTGCTTTTCATGATGAAAACCTTAGCTTCAGAGGCTGTTTATGATCTCTATGATTATAACAATCACCGTTCTATCTCTTTTCTGACATTGCCCATTGTCTATTTCAGTTACTGCGAATTTCCACAGCAGGATCTTGCGCTAACCGAGGACATAGTAGAGAGGTTGGTGGCTTTATATGAATAGCACTACCATCGGTGGAGGAAAAGGTTGGCTGATGGCAGCGAATATAAGATGTTCCAAGCATGATGACGAGCAAGTTCCGTTTTGAATACATGTGCAACGTGAAACGCCTAGACAGTACCTATTTCTGTACAATATTGTTGTCATCCATTCCCATCCCAATTGTGAATAGCCCCAGCGCCGCCTGGCCAGTACCCGCCAACATATTTACATAACCCCCTTACAGAAGCTTGACCGACTGAAAGAAGGGATTCGCCAACAGCTTCTCGTCTGACGCGACCAGCTCCCTCATCTTCTTGACCATGTCTTGTTTGCTCATTGCGCCGCCCTTGATCTCATCCTTCCACCGAACGAGCACATCCTTAAGCATGGCGCTGCCCTCTTCGACGTCACTCTTGTTGTACTTGAGCCCGAGGTCTTCGTGCTTGGTCGTAAAGTCCTCAAGCTCGTCCGCCTTGCGCTTCGCCATGCGGACGACCTTGTCCGGGAAGCGCACGAGCTCGGCGACGTGGATGCCGAAGCTTTGGTCGCAGATGCCGTCTTCGACCTTGTACAGCAACGTCACCTCGCGCTTGGCGTCACCTTCTTCGCTTCCGCTAATGTGCGCCGTGACGTGGAGGTTCTTCACTTGGGCATGTTGGTCGGCCAGCGCCGTGAGCTCGTGAAAGTGGGTGGCGAACATGGCGGAGCAGCCAATCTCCTTGACAATGTGTTCTGAAATGGCCCAGGCTAGGCCGAAGCCGTCGTATGTCGACGTGCCGCGACCGAGCTCATCAATGATGATAAGGGACTCGGCCGTCGCAGACTTGAGAATGTTGGCTGTCTCGAGCATCTCGGCCATGAAGGTGGAGACGCCCTTGAGCTGGGAGTCGCTCGCACCGACGCGAGCCAGGATGGAGTCGAAGATGGTCATCTCAGCCTCCGCGCAGGGAACGAAGCAGCCGACCTGCGCCATGAGGGCGATGACGCCAATCTGGCGGATGTACGTCGACTTTCCGCCCATGTTGGGTCCGGTGATGATAAGGAAGGAGGACTTGTCCTTCGTGAGCTCCACATCGTTCGTGATGAACTGCACATCATCCTGCATCTCCAAGCAAGGGTGACGTGCCTCTTTCAGCACTGTCTGGCCCTCGCCCCGTTTGTGCATCTTCGGCCGGACGTACTCGATCGGCGCGTGAACTGAGCAGTGGGCAAAAGAGATGATGACATCAAGGTGGGCAAGGACGCCGGCAAGTTTCTCGAGAACAGGGCAGTACGAGGCCGCAACTCCGACGACCTCGTTCACCAAGCTAGCCTGGGTTCTGTTGTAGTTTTGCGACTGCTGATCGAACTCGCGGCGTAGGTTCTGCAGGTTCCTGGTCGTGAAGTACACGCCGTTCTTCTGTGTCGAGCACTCCTGGTAGCCTGATTTGTTGCGGATACAGCCGGCTTCGGTCCTCGTTAGTCGCATGCAGTATCCGTGAACTTTGTGGTTTTCGAGGAATATCTTCTTCTCCTTCTCCTGTCCAAGATCGTGGGCGGCCTTGTTGAACTCCTGGTCAATGTCTC